TATTCGAAACATCTGATTTATTATTATTTTACTTTTATAAAACACTAACTTTCAAACAAAGGAATTATATATCTGTATAGTGTCAGAACGCATATATACTTAAAAAGGTTAGTTTACAAACTAGCTAAAGCTTGGCTATTTTGTGTTACTAGAAATTTTGGTTTTCATATTAGCCAAACTGAATTGGATAGTATACAAACTATCCAGCTATTTTAGTTTCCCTAAAAATTTCAAGTAAGCCAAGATCCTTGGATATTTTGTAAACTAGCCGCTAATTTAGTTGAAAATATGTTTTCAATTAAAATAGCTGACAGTTTGGCTAGTTTATAAACTATCCAAGTTTGCACATTAGCCATAACATATATATATATTAGGGTGGTCCAGAAACGAATTAAAAAAGTGAAGTTGTAAATACACTTATTCTCACCCTCTAATTTTTTTATATAAAGTAAAAAAAGTTATTTTACAAAATTTGAACCCTCTAGCTTAATTAGAAGGGAGTGCTCACAGCTATGATAGAATGAATCTGAAGACAATATATCCACATGAAAATCATGGTCCAGTGGCATAAATTGCAGCTTTTTTTGTGGTTTCTGTCGGAACAGATTTCCGATTCGCTTCTACGATTTGTAACAAGTCTTGCTTTTCGTCCTCATTTTTTATAATTGATTATGCTCTTCAAATAGTTTTACCCATCTTTCCGCTATATCATTTACAACTCGAAGTTTTACAACACACAGTCGACCTTGAAAAAATATAAGTAAGAAATAATTTATTGCGTAGACAAAGGCCATATTAATATTATGATTAATATTATTATTATTGTTGGTATTTAATAATAAAAATAATAATAATAATAATAGGGTTTATTGCCCAACAGTTTACACCATAGTAGGACATTCATATTACATAACAAAGAGGTTTACAAAAAAAAATATTAAATAAAAATGTGAACAAACTTATAACTAAACTTTCAATCAGATTTATACATCGTTAGAATTTACAATGGCCCTGTGAATAGTCTTTAGTGAACAATAGTTAATATCGCAATTAGTTGATATTTTATTAAAGTTATTAAACATAACATGTAAAGGTGATTTACTAAGTACATTGGTACGAGCAATCGGACACTTGAAGGTATGGTTCTGGCGACTACTGGTTCTGGGAATCAAAAAATCAATTTGACCTAACAGGTCAGAACAATCTATTTTATAATTTACAAGATTATACAAAAAAGACACTGACAAGATCTTCCTTCTGTTGGATAAGGATACAAAATTAAACGAATTTAGCAACAAAGCGTGTTCGTATCCTTGCGGGGGATAGAATCCTTGAAATTTAAAAAATAAAAACTTTAAAAAGCGTCTCTGTACAGACTCTATATGATTTATGTGGCAAGCATAAATAGGTGACCAGACCACACTCGCGTATTCCAATTTACTTCGCACTAGAGTAAAATATAGTATTAATATTATTACGAGTTCATTGGATAAGTACCAAAGATGATGTTTCAGAGTATCTCTAGCAACCTCGCTTTTCCCAATCTCCTCATAGTGTTCTAAATCTTTCCAAAAAGTTAGGTCGGACATAGTAGCTTAAGTGGCACACGGTGCCTTGATCCAGATTTCACCAAAACAACCAAAGCCAACTCGATCAGTTCCAAGTAGTCGTCATAACGTTGAGACTTTTGTTTCAATGCAGCTAGCAACAAGGGGATTGTGGAGTTTTTGTAAAATTCAAAATTCTTCAACGATTCTAGGTCTGAGGACTTGAAGCAGATACGATCAATAGGTACCCAAATTATTTTAAATCGATTAAAAATTGGAATATCCGGAAAGCAGCACAACTTGAAAACCTTACTAAGAATTATTTCCAAAACATGATGACTGCAGACTAACCAAAGTAAGTATCTGCCAATTTTTTCTCAAGCAAAACGCAGCATCCATTCTTCATTCCAGTATTTACAGATGTTGTGTCAAAACACATTGCTTATACTTTATCCACCAGATTCCATTCCCGAAGTACGTTTCCGACTTCATTTGCTGTACTCCTAATAACTTTTCATTTCCATCTGCTGAAACTAGTACTGGTAAACGTTCTACTTTAGTTAAGCAGTGGTAATCAGGAAGAATTTTACCATCCCAATGAACAAAAACTAAACCTTGACAAGAAAAACTTTGTTTCACATCTTTTCTTCCTTTCATGTTTTCGTCTCCGGCAAATAGTGCTGCGAGACGGCATTTCATGCAGATCTTTTCCCAGTGCTATCGCAATCGGTACTATAAGCCTCACGGTCTGAGACATTTTCCCTATCCAAAGCACTTATGACATTTAAACTGTAAAGTGTAGTTTTTAGTTTCTTAGGGAAAGGTGCGGGATTAGCTGATTGAACTAGTGTGTAAGAAATATATGTTTAGGTAAATAATATTCTTTGGTAATTGTAACATTAATATATAAGGTATAACATTTTATCTAACCAGTGAAAAGATGGCGTAATGGTTTTTTAAAATAAATTTAAAAAAAAACTGAAATCTCTTAGCTAATGAGCACTCCCTTCTAATACACCTAGGGGCCTAAAATTTTGGGAATTTTTTATTGATGTTGGAGGTAAAAAAATTGGGGGGTGAGACAATCTGTAAAATCAACTTCACTTTTTTGGACCACCCTAATATATATATATATATATATTGCACATTAGCCATAACATATATATATATATATATATATATATATATATATATATATATATATATATATATATATATATGGGCAGATCCATTACTTTTCGACAAAAGTGTGCGGGGCTAAATCACCGATTTGGCTGCCGATTTTTTTCTCGAAAGTAGGTCATATAAGAAGACGATCCTGAAAATTTGAGCTCGATATAGGTAATTCCGGCTGCAAGAGAATTTTTTGAAATATATAAAAGTCGATTTTTTAGTCATTTTCAAAAATTCGTATCTCAGCTCTTATTTAACTTAGAGATTTGATCAAGACGGCATTTTTCTCTGTTATCCCTCTATTTTCAAGAAAAAAATAGGTTTTAAGTTTAAACTCAAATCCAGCTAAGCTGTAAGCCTCCAAATAAAACACTGCTTAAGATAAATTTTGCCAATTTTGAAAGTGCTCTCAAATCTACAGTTTTTGAAGGAGTGGAATAAATGACAGATGATATTTTTCGTTAAGGTATACTCTGTTGGAATTTACGTATTTTTTACTTGATTTTTGAAAAATCGCTGTTTTCAGATACCTACAACTTTTTTCTATCGATCCGGAATCCTTTGATAATTTCAGGGATTATACTTTATTCTATCCCCAAACAACCCATCAAAACTTTTCCTTGGGTATTGAAGTGGTTTCCGAGCTATGAATTTTTAAAAATGTCAAATTTTCAATATAATATGACATTTTTGATAGTTTTATTATCAGTTAAATGAATTATTAGTAATACTTTAGTCAATAATCCATTGGACCTTGTTCATTTTTCTCGAAAGTAGGTCATATAAGGAGACAATCCTGAAAATTTGAGCTCGATATAGGTAATTCCGGCTGCAAGAGAATTTTTTGAAATATAAAAAAAGTCGATTTTTTAGTTATTTTCAAAAATTCGTATCTCAGCTCTTATTTAACTTAGAGATTTGATCAAGACGGCATTTTTCTCTGTTATCCCTCTATTTTCAAGAAAAAAATAGGTTTTAAGTTTAAACTCAAATCCAGCTAAGCTGTAAGCCTCCAAATAAAACACTGCTTAAGATAAATTTTGCTCTTAAATCTACAGTTTTTGAAGCAGTGGGATGAATGACAGATGATATTTTTCGTTAAGGTATACTCTGTTGGAATTAAGGTATACTCTGTTGGAATTTACTTGATTGCTTCGATTTCTCTAATGTATGGCCACTCAAAGACAATTCATTTTTGAAAAATCAATGTTTTCAGATACCTACAACTTTTTTCTATCGATCCAAAATCCTTTGAAAATTTCAGGGATTATACATTATTCTATCCTCAAACAACTCATCAAAACTTTTCCTTGGGTATTGAAGTGATTTAAGAGCTATGAATTTTCTAAAATGTCAAAATTTCAATATAAAAAAATTTTGTGTAGTTTTATTATCAGTTTAATGATTTATTCGTAATAAATTAATTGATATATGAAAATATATAGAATTGGAAGGGGCATCTTGTACCTTTTATGGTTGAAACGCTGTCACATCTTTTTTTCAAGTGCCTTTGACTTTGTTGAACTTCTGTATCAGGAACCCATAAAGCTCTATAGATAATTATAATAATTATTGTTGGTAATAGACATAAAGTTTTAATATATTAAATTTACCTGATACTTTTTAATTCTTCAAAAACATAATTGTACATGTCTAATGGATTAGTAATTTGCTTCTCTAGTGGTGATCGAATGCAGTGTCTCATTGTTGTTCGTTTAACAACTGCTCCAATACCATAACAAACACTTTTTCCATGGCTTGTAGCAAAAAAATTGTATGAAGTTACTTTTAGCTCAAAATCTTTTTCGTGGTAGCAGACGTTTATCAAATTGTTTCTATAGAAGCAAACAAAAAAATGGGTTACATTATCTTTATCATAGTAAAATAAATAGTTTTTTGTTAAAAAAATGGTATTATAAACTAATGTTAGTAATTTTATTTCTATTAAGTTTTTAAAAGCCATACTTATTTTTATACTGACTCGAAGCTCCATCAGAGAAATAGATAATGTTTTTAATCCATGGGAAATCTTTTTTCAGAACTTGCACTAATTTGTTTTGAAAAGCGTGAACTGTATATGCAAAATGTTCCTTAGTGTCACTTATTACACAAAAACTTAGTTGCTCCAGTTTTTTGTTATCTTCTTTGCTGGGATCTGTATAGTACATACAAAAAGGATGAATTGTAGCTTGTAAATTATTATAATAAAATGCTTGTACTCAGTACAATGTACTGAACGTTGTATTATAAAAGAGTAATTCTCAGCGAAATACATTATTATTATACAAGTATCAGTTTGCAATTTTTTTTTACAATCAAATAAATAATTTTTTGAGAATCGGCAATATAAGAATGTAGAGTTAAATTCCAGACATCAGAAAACAAATTATCTAAAAAACTGCTTTTACTTTCCGTATAATTGGCTAGAAAAGCTCTACTTCCAGCTGTGTCCCAACGTTTAAAATTAATTTCACTTTTTTGCAAATCAAAATTAAATTCTTTAATCCAAGTCCTCATACCCTTTATTCCAGGGCAATTTTTACATTCATGTAACATGCATTCTCGGCTATCAGTACTACAGACAGAAGCAGTGATTAAATCTCTGTAATTGAATTTACTTCTTAAAGCGGATACTTTAAGTTTAATGTTTTCATGTTCAGCACACACACATATTTCGTGTGTACCAGGATCACCAGCATAAACGCACTCTTCCGGTTTTAAGGTCGCAAAATATGAAAATTTTGGTAAACATTCATCTCCTGTATAATCATTAACAAAATTGTTGTAGAGATCTCGAAGTGTGTATAGTAATAACTTTTTTTGCACTAATTCTATCTGTTCTGAATCACTTCGTTTTCTTTTGTATTGTTTTATTCCGGGGCAAGTGTAACAATTATTTTCATCTAAATAATAATTTTTAATTGCATTATTCATGGCCTTCGAAATTTTAGTATATTTTTTCCTTTTGCGCACCATTAAACCATCTAAAATTAATAAAAAAATAATTATTATAGTTATTTATGCGACACGAAAAAAAATATATCAATCTATAGATATTATAGATATTATAATATTAAATTCTTACCATCTGTTTCTTTCGATTTTCGAAATTCTCGAATTATATAATTGGTGCAGTTAAAATATTTTTTAACGTCATTAAATTTCCATCTTTTTGGTAAAATGGTTAGTATTTGAATTTTTTCATCGATTGCCTTTGCAGAATCGAATCTATTCTGTAAGGAAAAAATAATCTCTTTAAGAGATTTACTATCTGTTACAATATTTTTTGTGACAGTATCGTTAATAATATTAATATCCAAATCATAAGCTGTATTTATTTTTTCTGTAATTTTCTGTGTAAAGTCTAATAATAATTGCTCCATCTTCTGTTTGAAGCGTTTTGTAGACATTTTATCTTTATCTACAGGATCTATCTCAAGTATATTCAACAAACTATTGATAGCATTGATTTCTTGGCTTTTTGTTTGATAAATTGATTCGAAAGAATTGCTTGAATAAGACGAAACTTGAGATTGCTGGATTTCTTCATCTTCTGTATTATTGACAGATTCGACAAGCGGTACACTTTTATTGTTTTTTTGATACATTTTGTGAAGTGCTTTGTCACACTCTCTACATAACTTTTCACCGGGAATTAAATTTATAGAAATTAGTCCTGATAACACTTTATTTAATTGCTGACAAGTTTCTACATTTATAATTCGAATATTTGTGGTAACCAATTTTTTATGTTTATTAAGAGAGTCACAACATGTATGCTTAAGAGAAGAATAATGATCTAAGAATTGAAACTTATGAAAATTACAAATTTTTTTCTCCAACACCTGATCATTGAACTGATAACTTGACAGTCTATATTTTAAAAGTAAGATATCTTCTTCTTTCAGATCTTTTAAAAGGTGAAAACATTGCCTGTTTGAAAATGTTTCTTTATGACATTCGGAGTCTGTCAACAATCCAACAACACACTTATTCATTTTAGTGATGTTGATATTAAAAAATTATTATTAGTCGAAATTTTTTATAAATTTTCTAAGCGTAAGTAAGTACTTACTTATATTTATGAAAAGATATTATATAATATATAGATTATATATCCAAACACACACACACAAATTACATCAATTTTAAAAAATAAGGTTAATTATTATATTCGATAAGAAATTCGACTTGTAATATATATGTTGTATTGTAATTTTGAATATTATTGAAATAAATGTTTTTAATGTTTTAATGTTTTTAATGTTAATGACTTGTACCGGGTTCAAATCTTAGGTGATGCATTTATTTTTTTATTTTTTTTTTGTTTATTTTTTAATTAACTTTAATGCAAAAACAATAATATTTTTTGTTTTTAAGATATTTTATTGGGTTTATATTATATTTTATTGTTTTTTTTTTGCTAACAATGTGTGGATTGGGTATGCAGCTTACGTATGCAACAGTATGAAATTTTTCTACATTCACGACTGTCGGTAAGCATTAAATTAATTATCATTATAGGCTGGCTGCACATTATGAACAAGGTCTAATGGATTATTGACTAAACTATTACTAATAATTCAATTAACTGATAATAAAACCACTAAAAATGTCATATTATATTGAAAAGTTGACATTTTTAAAAATTCATAGCTCGGAAACCACTTCAATACCCAAGGAAAAGTTTTGATGGGTTGTTTGGGGATAGAATAGTAGAAAAGTATAATCCCTGAAATTATCAAAGGATTTCGGATCGATAGAAAAAAGTTGTAGGTATCTGAAAAAAGCGATTTTTCAAAAATAAGTTGTTTTTGAGTGGCCATACAGAGAGAAATCGAAGCAATCAAGTAAAAAATGGGTAAATTCAAACAGAGTATACCTTAACGAAAAATATCATCTGTCATTTATCCCACTGCTTCAAAAACTGTAGATTTGAGAGCACTTTAAAAATTGACAAAAATTATCTTAAGCAGTGTTTTATTTGGAGGCTTGCAGCTTGAGTTTAAACTTAAAACCTATTTTTTTCTTGAAAATAAAGGGATAACTGAGAAAAATGCCATCTTGATCAAATCTCTAAGTTAAATAGGAGCTGAGATATGAATTTTTGAAAATGACTAAAAAATCGTCTTTTTTATATTTCAAAAAATTCTCTTGCAGCCGGAATTGCCCATATCGAGCTCAAATTTTTAGGATCGTCTCCTTATATGACCTACTTTCGAGAAAAATGAACAAGGTCTAATAGATTATTGATTAAAGTATTACTAATAATTCATTTAACTGATAATAAAACTAACAAAAATGTCATATTATATTGAAAATTTGACATTTTTAAAAGTTCATAGCTCGGAAACCACTTCAATACCCAAGGAAAAGTTTTGATGGTTTGTTTGGGAATAGAATAAAGTATAATCCCTGAAATTTTCAAAGGATTTCGGATCGATAGAAAAAAGTTGTAGGTATCTGAAAACAGCGATTTTTCAAAAATCAATTGTCTTTGAGTGGCCATACATTAGAGAAATCGAAGCAATCAAGTAAAAAATGGGTAAATTCCAATAGAGTATACCTTAACGAAAAATATCATTTGTCATTTATTCCACTGCTTCAAAAACTGTAGATTTGAGAGCACTTTAAAAATTGGCAAAATTTATCTTAAGCAGTGTTTTATTTGGAGGCTTACAGCTTAGCCGGATTTGAGTTTAAACTTAAAACCTATTTAGGGATAACAGAGAAAAATTCCGTCTTGATCAAATCTCTAAGTTAAATAGGAGCTGAGATACGAATTTTTGAAAATGACTAAAAAATCGACTTTTTTATATTTCAAAAAATTTTCTTGCAGCCGGAATTACCTATATCGAGCTCAAATTTTTAGGATCGTCTCCTTATATGACCTACTTTCGAGAAAAAAATTGGCAGCCAAATCGGTGACTTACCCCCGCACACTTTTGTAAGTAATGGATCTGCCCATATACATATATATATATATTTGGGTGTATCATTTTTAACTTTCAGGAAGGTGAAAAAAGAAACCTCTAAAAATTTGAGCTCTTTATATTAACATTAAGTGGTGCCTGTTCCTAACTTTCCATTTTCCATTTAAATAACATGGAAATTTTTTTTTTCTTTTTTCTTATTTTTGTAGCTTGACATTTCAACATTGTAAAAACGAACTGAAAAATTATTGTGGTAGGAAATTGAAAGCTCTACAAAAAAGTTTCAATATATTTTTTCATAGAGTAAGCCGTTCTGAAGGTATTCAAACTTAAAGTTGCCTTTAATATTTCGAATCGCGGCACGTTAGCGTGCCTCTAGTCCCTGTGTAATCCGAACGGTAATATACCGACTGAGCCGATATAATCTTTTAACAGAATTATTGACTTTAAAATTATAAAAAATAAAGAAAGATTAAAAAGTCAATACAATAACAAATTCATTGTTTTATTTAATTTATTATAATTATTGAACAAATTTATTGAACACAAATAACTTTTTTTAATAGTAAATAAAATAAAATGGAAAAAAATTGAGATGTTAGTGTTATTTTCTTTCTATACGAAAATAATTATTTTTTCTTAAAATAATTTTTTAAGACATAAAAAAGTATTAGTTTAATAAAATAAGTTATAATTTTATACATTTGAAAGTTTGAATACCTCCAGTTCGTTTTTACAATGCTCAAATGTCAAGCTAAAAAAATAAGAAAAAAAAAATGTCCATGTTTTTTAAATGGAAAATGGAAAGTTAGGAACAGGCACCACTTAATGTTAATATTAAGAGTTCAACCTTCCTGAAAGTTTTTAGCCTGTTTTTTAGTTGAAAAAAAAAGTTGCTTAAAAATGACACACCCTAATATATATATATATATACACACATGATCAAAATTGTTGCATATTTCTGTATTTTAATTTTCGCTTTGTATAACATTCTTTTTTTTGTTGTTTTGGAATAAATTTTTATTTAATAGTTATAATACTTAAAATAAAGAAAATTTAATACATTAAAGTACATATCACCGATTTGGCTGCCGATTTTTTTCTCGAAAGTAGGTCATATAAGAAGACGATCCTGAAAATTTGAGCTCGATATAGGTAATTCCGGCTGCAAGAGAATTTTTTGAAATATATAAAAGTCGATTTTTTAGTCATTTTCAAAAATTCGTATCTCAGCTCTTATTTAACTTAGAGATTTGATCAAGACGGCATTTTTCTCTGTTATCCCTCTATTTTCAAGAAAAAAATAGGTTTTAAGTTTAAACTCAAATCCAGCTAAGCTGTAAGCCTCCAAATAAAACACTGCTTAAGATAAATTTTGCCAATTTTGAAAGTGCTCTCAAATCTACAGTTTTTGAAGGAGTGGAATAAATGACAGATGATATTTTTCGTTAAGGTATACTCTGTTGGAATTTACGCATTTTTTACTTGATTGCTTCGATTTCTCTAATGTATGGCCACTCAAAGACAATTGATTTTTGAAAAATCGCTGTTTTCAGATACCTACAACTTTTTTCTATCGATCCGAAATCCTTTGATAATTTCAGGGATTATACTTTATTCTATCCCCAAACAACCCATCAAAACTTTTCCTTGGGTATTGAAGTGGTTTCCGAGCTATGAATTTTTAAAAATGTCAAATTTTCAATATAATATGACATTTTTGATAGTTTTATTATCAGTTAAATGAATTATTAGTAATACTTTAGTCAATAATCCATTGGACCTTGTTCATTTTTCTCGAAAGTAGGTCATATAAGGAGACGATCCTGAAAATTTGAGCTCGATATAGGTAATTCCCGGCTGCAAGAGAATTTTTTGAAATATAAAAAAAGTCGATTTTTTAGTCATTTTCAAAAATTCGTATCTCAGCTCTTATTTAACTTAGAGATTTGATCAAGACGGCATTTTTCTCTGTTATCCCTCTATTTTCAAGAAAAAAATAGGTTTTAAGTTTAAACTCAAATCCGGCTAAGCTGTAAGCCTCCAAATAAAACACTGCTTAAGATAAATTTTGCTCTTAAATCTACAGTTTTTGAAGCAGTGGGATGAATGACAGATGATATTTTTCGTTAAGGTATACTCTGTTGGAATTAAGGTATACTCTGTTGGAATTTACTTGATTGCTTCGATTTCTCTAATGTATGGCCACTCAAAGACAATTCATTTTTGAAAAATCAATGTTTTCAGATACCTACAACTTTTTTCTATCGATCCAAAATCCTTTGAAAATTTCAGGGATTATACATTATTCTTTCCTCAAACAACTCATCAAAACTTTTCCTTGGGTATTGAAGTGATTTAAGAGCTATGAATTTTCTAAAATGTCAAAATTTCAATATAAAAAATTTTTTTGTAGTTTTATTATCAGTTTAATGATTTATTCGTAATAAATTAATTGATATATGAAAATATATAGAATTGGAAGGGGCATCTTGTACCTTTTATGGTTGAAACGCTGTCACATCTTTTTTTCAAGTGCCTTTGACTTTGTTGAACTTCTGTATCAGGAACCCATAAAGCTCTATAGATAATTATAATAATTATTGTTGGTAATAGACATAAAGTTTTAATATATTAAATTTACCTGATACTTTTTAATTCTTCAAAAACATAATTGTACATGTCTAATGGATTAGTAATTTGCTTCTCTAGTGGTGATCGAATGCAGTGTCTCATTGTTGTTCGTTTAACAACTGCTCCAATACCATAACAAACACTTTTTCCATGGCTTGTAGCAAAAAAATTGTATGAAGTTACTTTTAGCTCAAAATCTTTTTCGTGGTAGCAGACGTTTATCAAATTGTTTCTATAGAAGCAAACAAAAAAATGGGTTACATTATCTTTATCATAGTAAAATAAATAGTTTTTTGTTAAAAAAATGGTATTATAAACTAATGTTAGTAATTTTATTTCTATTAAGTTTTTAAAAGCCATACTTATTTTTATACTGACTCGAAGCTCCATCAGAGAAATAGATAATGTTTTAAATCCATGGGAAATCTTTTTTCAGAACTTGCACTAATTTGTTTTGAAAAGCGTGAACTGTATATGCAAAATGTTCCTTAGTGTCACTTATTACACAAAAACTTAGTTGCTCCAGTTTTTTGTTATCTTCTTTGCTGGGATCTGTATAGTACATACAAAAAGGATGAATTGTAGCTTGTAAATTATTATAATAAAATGCTTGTACTCAGTACAATGTACTGAACGTTGTATTATAAAAGAGTAATTCTCAGCGAAATACATTATTATTATTCAAGTATCAGTTTGCAATTTTTTTTTACAATCAAATAAATAATTTTTTGAGAATCGGCAATATAAGAATGTAGAGTTAAATTCCAGACATCAGAAAACAAATTATCTAAAAAACTGCTTTTACTTTCCGTATAATTGGCTAGAAAAGCTCTACTTCCAGCTGTGTCCCAACGTTTAAAATTAATTTCACTTTTTTGCAAATCAAAATTAAATTCTTTAATCCAAGTCCTCATACCCTTTATTCCAGGGCAATTTTTACATTCATGTAACATGCATTCTCGGCTATCAGTACTACAGACAGAAGCAGTGATTAAATCTCTGTAATTGAATTTACTTCTTAAAGCGGATACTTTAAGTTTAATGTTTTCATGTTCAGCACACACACATATTTCGTGTGTACCAGGATCACCAGCATAAACGCACTCTTCCGGTTTTAAGGTCGCAAAATATGAAAATTTTGGTAAACATTCATCTCCTGTATAATCATTAACAAAATTGTTGTAGAGATCTCGAAGTGTGTATAGTAATAACTTTTTTTGCACTAATTCTATCTGTTCTGAATCACTTCGTTTTCTTTTGTATTGTTTTATTCCGGGGCAAGTGTAACAATTATTTTCATCTAAATAATAATTTTTAATTGCATTATTCATGGCCTTCGAAATTTTAGTATATTTTTTCCTTTTGCGCACCATTAAACCATCTAAAATTAATAAAAAAATAATTATTATAGTTATTTATGCGACACGAAAAAAAATATATCAATCTATAGATATTATAGATATTATAATATTAAATTCTTACCATCTGTTTCTTTCGATTTTCGAAATTCTCGAATTATATAATTGGTGCAGTTAAAATATTTTTTAACGTCATTAAATTTCCATCTTTTTGGTAAAATGGTTAGTATTTGAATTTTTTCATCGATTGCCTTTGCAGAATCGAATCTATTCTGTAAGGAAAAAATAATCTCTTTAAGAGATTTACTATCTGTTACAATATTTTTTGTGACAGTATCGTTAATAATATTAATATCCAAATCATAAGCTGTATTTATTTTTTCTGTAATTTTCTGTGTAAAGTCTAATAATAATTGCTCCATCTTCTGTTTGAAGCGTTTTGTAGACATTTTATCTTTATCTACAGGATCTATCTCAAGTATATTCAACAAACTATTGATAGCATTGATTTCTTGGCTTTTTGTTTGATAAATTGATTCGAAAGAATTGCTTGAATAAGACGAAACTTGAGATTGCTGGATTTCTTCATCTTCTGTATTATTGACAGATTCGACAAGCGGTACACTTTTATTGTTTTTTTGATACATTTTGTGAAGTGCTTTGTCACACTCTCTACATAACTTTTCACCGGGAATTAAATTTATAGAAATTAGTCCTGATAACACTTTATTTAATTGCTGACAAGTTTCTACATTTATAATTCGAATATTTGTGGTAACCAATTTTTTATGTTTATTAAGAGAGTCACAACATGTATGCTTAAGAGAAGAATAATGATCTAAGAATTGAAACTTATGAAAATTACAAATTTTTTTCTCCAACACCTGATCATTGAACTGATAACTTGACAGTCTATATTTTAAAAGTAAGATATCTTCTTCTTTCAGATCTTTTAAAAGGTGAAAACATTGCCTGTTTGAAAATGTTTCTTTATGACATTCGGAGTCTGTCAACAATCCAACAACACACTTATTCATTTTAGTGATGTTGATATTAAAAAATTATTATTAGTCGAAATTTTTTATAAATTTTCTAAGCGTAAGTAAGTACTTACTTATATTTATGAAAAGATATTATATAATATATAGATTATATATCCAAACACACACACACAAATTACATCAATTTTAAAAAATAAGGTTAATTATTATAACAATACCAATTTGGAAGTACAGGGGATGCTCTTTTTTTATTTTTACACTTCCCAGAAGGCCCCACTTCATAAATATGATTTGTATTACAATGGTTATCCGTTCCGTGGACAAACGGAAAGAAATTCGACTTGTAATATATATGTTGTATTGTAATTTTGAATATTATTGAAATAAATGTTTTTAATGTTTTAATGTTTTTAATGTTAATGACTTGTAATCGTAAGGTACCGGGTTCAAATCTTAGGTGATGCATTTATTTTTTTATTTTTTTTTTTTGTTTATTTTTTAATTAACTTTAATGCAAAAACAATAATATTTTTTGTTTTTAAGATATTTTATTGGGTTTATATTATATTTTATTGTTTTTTTTTTTGCTAACAATGTGTGGATTGGGTATGCAGCTTACGTATGCAACAGTATGAAATTTTTCTACATTCACGACTGTCGGTAAGCATTAAATTAATTATTATTATAGGCTGGCTGCACATTATGAACAAGGTCTAATGGATTATTGACTAAACTATTACTAATAATTCAACTGATAATAAAACCACTAAAAATGTCATATTATATTGAAAAGTTGACATTTTTAAAAATTCATAGCTCGGAAACCACTTCAATACCCAAGGAAAAGTTTTGATGGGTTGTTTGGGGATAGAATAGTAGAAAAGTATAATCCCTGAAATTATCAAAGGATTTCGGATCGATAGAAAAAAGTTGTAGGTATCTGAAAAAAGCGATTTTTCAAAAATAAGTTGTTTTTGAGTGGCCATACAGAGAGAAATCGAAGCAATCAAGTAAAAAATGGGTAAATTCAAACAGAGTATACCTTAACGAAAAATATCATCTGTCATTTATCCCACTGCTTCAAAAACTGTAGATTTGAGAGCACTTTAAAAATTGACAAAAATTATCTTAAGCAGTGTTTTATTTGGAGGCTTGCAGCTTGAGTTTAAACTTAAAACCTATTTTTTTCTTGAAAATAAAGGGATAACTGAGAAAAATGCCATCTTGATCAAATCTCTAAGTTAAATAGGAGCTGAGATATGAATTTTTGAAAATGACTAAAAAATCGTCTTTTTTATATTTCAAAAAATTCTCTTGCAGCCGGAATTGCCCATATCGAGCTCAAATTTTTAGGATCGTCTCCTTATATGACCTACTTTCGAGAAAAATGAACAAGGTCTAATAGATTATTGACTAAAGTATTACTAATAATTCATTTAACTGATAATAAAACTAACAAAAATGTCATATTATATTGAAAATTTGACATTTTTAAAAGTTCATAGCTCGGAAACCACTTCAATACCCAAGGAAAAGTTTTGATGGTTTGTTTGGGAATAGAATAAAGTATAATCCCTGAAATTTTCAAAGGATTTCGGATCGATAGAAAAAAGTTGTAGGTATCTGAAAACAGCGATTTTTCAAAAATCAATTGTCTTTGAGTGGCCATACATTAGAGAAATCGAAGCAATCAAGTAAAAAATGGGTAAATTCCAATAGAGTATACCTTAACGAAAAATATCATTTGTCATTTATTCCACTGCTTCAAAAACTGTAGATTTGAGAGCACTTTAAAAATTGGCAAAATTTATCTTAAGCAGTGTTTTATTTGGAGGCTTACAGCTTAGCCGGATTTGAGTTTAAACTTAAAACCTATTTAGGGATAACAGAGAAAAATTCCGTCTTGATCAAATCTCTAAGTTAAATAGGAGCTGAGATACGAATTTTTGAAAATGACTAAAAAATCGACTTTTTTTATATTTCAAAAAATTTTCTTGCAGCCGGAATTACCTATATCGAGCTCAAATTTTTAGGATCGTCTCCTTATATGACCTACTTTCGAGAAAAAAATTGGCAGCCAAATCGGTGACTTACCCCCGCACACTTTTGTAAGTAATGGATCTGCCCATATACATATATATATATTTGGGTGTATCATTTTTAACTTTCAGGAAGGTGAAAAAAGAAACCTCTAAAAATTTGAGCTCTTTATATTAACATTAAGTGGTGCCTGTTCCTAACTTTCCATTTTCCATTTAAATAACATGGAAATTTTTTTTTTCTTTTTTCTTATTTTTGTAGCTTGACATTTCAACATTGTAAAAACGAACTGAAAAATTATTGTGGTAGGAAATTGAACGCTCTACAAAAAAGTTTCAATATATTTTTTCATAGAGTAAGCCGTTCTGAAGGTATTCAAACTTAAAGTTGCCTTTAATATTTCGAATCGCGGCACGTTAGCGTGCCTCTAGTCCCTGTGTAATCCGAACGGTAATATACCGACTGAGCCGATATAATCTTTTAACAGAATTATTGACTTTAAAATTATAAAAAATAAAGAAAGATTAAAAAGTCAATACAATAACAAATTCATTGTTTTATTTAATTTATTATAATTATTGAACAAATTTATTGAACACAAATAACTTTTTTTAATAGTAAATAAAATAAAATGGAAAAAAATTGAGATGTTAGTGTTATTTTCTTTCTATACGAAAATAATTATTTTTTCTTAAAATAATTTTTTAAGACATAAAAAAGTATTAGTTTAATAAAATAAGTTATAATTTTATACATTTGAAAGTTTGAATACCTCCAGTTCGTTTTTACAATGCTCAAATGTCAAGCTAAAAAAATAAGAAAAAAAAAAATGTCCATGTTTTTTAAATGGAAAATGGAAAGTTAGGAACAGGCACCACTTAATGTTAATATTAAGAGCTCAACCTTCCTGAAAGTTTTTAGCCTGTTTTTTAGTTGAAAAAAAAAGTTGCTTAAAAATGACACACCCTAATATATATATATATACACACATGATCAAAATTGTTGCATATTTCTGTATTTTAATTTTCGCTTTGTATAACATTCTTTTTTTTTGTTGTTTTGGAATAAATTTTTATTTAATAGTTATAATACTTAAAATAAAGAAAATTTAATACATTGGGTGTCCCAAAAGTCAACGATATCCTTTGGAGGAATGATGGACCAACTCATGACCAACCAGAAAATCAAAACATGACCTTAGTAAAAAATCGTTAGTTTTTGAGATATAGTCATTTTTATGAATTTTGTAAAATTTGACACCTTATATCAGTTTTTTGAGTGCCACAGCTACAAAATTCCATATTCTTAGATTATATTTTATGTTGTGCAATCCTAAAAATGCCTGCTATTGATTACAGTTCAAAATAAAACTAATAGTAGTTTTTTACCTTTTGAAAACAAACATTTTTGCCCGATTTTATACGTTTTTTTTATTAGCTAGCTTCGACCGTTCAGACTGTAAAAAGACATGTCACGCAAACTTGGCAAGTATTTTAAAAATTGCTAATTTAGTGTAATATGCCATGTTATACTTTAAAGAAAAAGATATTGCTGTTTTACTGCAAAACGAGTTTATTGTTAAATTATTTCAATATTTATGAATTTAAACAAAAACACTTCTTTAATGAAAATAACAGATATTTAATTAAAAACAAACGAATCACAAATAAAAATTAAAGAATGTGTTCAAAATTCCTGCCACCAAGTCGAATGCAAGCGCGGCATCTTTTTAAAAAGGATCGTTTTATCTGTCTTGCACTTTCTGCGTCTTTTATTTATTGTGCGGCTTCATTAATTTGGTCTCTCAATTCATGTACGTTATGAATTACTATTCCATAGACTTTTTCCTTTATGCAACCCAAGTAAAAACAATTTAGAGGATTTAAATCCGGAGACGGCCTATCCATCTCTCTGGATAAACCTGATCCAAATAATTTCTTACTTCCCTTGCGTAATGAGCTGGACAACCATGATGTTGAAGCCACATTGCCCTGCGTGTGGCTACAGGCACATCATCCAAGAAAATATTGTAATTGCAATACCAAATTTATTTTTATTTACAACCACAATATTGTTTGTTCTTTCTAAACTTAAATGTAAGATGACACCTTTGAAGAAAAAATATTTTTGTTCTTTATTATCAAAACTCCTTTATCCACTTGCCCCTTCAATTGTGTGTTTGTGTCCCGTGTTTGACGTTTGACGTTTGACTACTCATTATGCCGTACCAGTATACTGCTCAGGAATATGCAAACATGCATTACATTTATGGTGAATGCAGAGGTAATGGTGTAGCTTCCGCCAACCTGTATCGGGAAAGATACCCGAATGCTTTGAGATATCCTGATTATCGCGTCTTTATAAATGTTCACCAAGCATACGCTGAAGGCAGAATGCCTCACAATCGTGGTAGAATGGGAAGACCACGTATGGATTATGATGAAGAGGTTTTGCAAGAAATTGAAAATCACCCAACTACTTCGGCGCGAGCAATTGAAAGGCGTACAGGAATACCGAAATCCACTGCAAACAGAATTACACGACGGTATCAGTATCACCCATATCACGTACAGCGTGTGCAAATGTTGCTTCCTCGTGACTACGCA